CAATAATGCTATACCAGTACTACTTAATTAATTAGCTAATTAATAAAAATACTTGTTAACACACATCACGTCTTCACTGCAATATATACATAAGTACATTCCATTTAACCTCTTCCTGCAGCAACAATTTTTGTGATACAGATAAATTCTAAATAAAATGTATAGTTTGTCGTCTCCAGTCAGTATAACTTTTTTTCCCTCAAACTATGTTGAAAATGATCCCACACCAACAGGCAAGCCCTTTCATAGTTTCTCCAGAACTATTGTATTTGTTAATATCCTTTCCATGGAACCTGTTCAAAGATCTGAAATATCCCTTCAAAGGTAAACTTGTTCTTGTTGAATGGTAACATAAAATGTGTTTATTTGCAGATCACAAAGTGGTCCACATGTCCATGTGTTGTGTACTTGTATTGAACCATCAGTAAGTGTTTAGTTTGTCACCTTAGACCACTTCTCACCTGTAATTCATTGAAACAACAACAACACCCTCCAGTTTACTAAGGAAGTGAGCATGGTAAATATCTAGGGATGATGTTCCTGTGGAAAAGCCACCACCATAGATCCAAACAAGAACTGGAGCAGGTTGTGAGGACTGGGTTTTGTTAAGAACTGGAGACCAAACATTTAAGTACAGGCAGTCCTCACTGACAGGGGTGTTTGGATTCCACATCTCAACACCTTTGAACCCTGAAAAAAAAAAGATAATATAGTATATTGTCAGCAAACATCAATTAAAATTATGCTCTATTGGTTGATAAGTAATTTAGACTTTAGTCACTAATAATAAAACTTTTATTGTAAACAATGTTTTAGATTAGGTACAAACTGGACAAACATTTTTGGTGTATGGCCATTTATGGCAAATAGCTCTAAAGCAGAAGTAAGTCAATAAACTTCTAAGATCAGGAACATCAGTTTAATATTGTGTGTTATTTTATTTTATTTTATTTTATTATATATATGTATACATATTTTTTTTAGGATTTGTATGTAGTGTTGTAGATTTGGAGAACACTTAGACATGTAACATATGGCACCTTTGGTTTTAGTAGACTTCCAGCAATCCCTGGCTGATGCCAGATTCTATAAATAGTCACCATTCATCCCCATCCGTCTCTTTGGTGACAAGAGAATGCATGGCTTTAATAATTCATTTTGCCTGCACTGAGTAATAAATGCTAAAAAGAAGCCGACGTTTTACCTTTATCTTTTTTACGAGTAGATGAAAATTTACAACTATTGTCAACAATGTTCTTAATCACTCATTTACAAGCAAAGTATTGGGTGTGTTTAAGATCATGTGATATGATGTTTTATAACTGTTTCCCTCTGCAAATCTATTGTTTTAAAGTTCAACATGACACTTTTATTATCTAACCAAGACATCCCATTTAGAACTCATAGGGCTACAACTAACACCATTAAAAACATTTTACGTGACCTGTTTGAATCTACTTAAAAAAGTCAGTAGTCAGAAAGGATTGCCTGAAATGGAAATAAAGGAATATAGGAGGTAAAAAGGCAGTTTAGAGTATGATATATATATTTTCCATATCAAATAGCAAGCAGTGCCAAAACACAACCGTATATAATTGAATCACTAAAATAAATCTAAATATAATAAATATCCTAAATTCATTGGTAGTAAATTAAAAGTTAATCAAACATGTTTGGAGAAGCTATATTATTATTATTATTATTATTATTATTATTATTATTATTATTATTATTATTATTATTATATAAAGTCAATATAATTTAACTGAAAAAAGGCTTTTGAGATACATTTTCCCCAACACTGATTAAGAAATCTATGAATAGCAAACAAATAATTTGAAAAGGTTCTCCCTGTGTTTTCCACTGATTTTTGTAGTTTACCTGTATCATCATGCCAAAACTGTTTTATCTGAAACATTCCCCTCCTGTTGACCTTCAACAGCTCTTGCAAATACTGGAAAATAAATATTTACCCCAATTGTTTCAATATGTAAAAAAATATATAAAAATACTTGCTGCACTCACTGCTGTACAGAGCCCATCCGCTGACTTTGGATATCAAAAAAAAAAATAAATCTTGTGGCCATGTGATAACACATGTCCAGGTAATGATTATGTTGTGGCTACAATATAATTATTGCAGTCATTTCCACGTAGACTGTTGATTGTTCACATGGACAAGTTTGAATCAGTTTGAATCCTTTATTATATAATAAGGATTGGATGACATTGTCACTTATGTTAGGCATGAAGTAATTCCTTATATGTTGCTGTCTTCTTCTTTATCCATTCAGTCGATTCCGACCATTGGTCACTTGATAGATCAACTGTCTCCAAGCACTTATATCCTTTACTGCTTCTTTTAATTGTGACATAGTCTTGCTGGTGTCTTGTTTGATGGTATCAAGCCAATGAGTTCTTGGTCTGCATTTTCTTCTTCTGCCACTGACCAATCCCAACTTGACATCTTTCTCCAATGACTGAGTTCTCATTATGTGTCCAAAGTATGTTAGTTTTTGTTTAGTGACCCTTGCTTCAAGCGAGATATTTGGTTTGACTCATTCTAATACTTAATTGTTGGTGATTCTTACTGTCCATGGAATTCGTAGTAGTCTTCTCCAACACCATAATTCAAGGGCATCAATTCTCTTCCTGTCAGCCTTCTTTAGCATCCAGGATTCACAGCCACACGTTGCTATCGAGAAGACTATTGCATTGACTAATCTTATTGGACTAATCATATATGTTGCAGTATTAGACACTAAAGCTTTATTATCTTTTTTTTTTCAGCTCAACACCCAAAACAGGCTCCTTTCTCATCCTGTGCCTTTGCTGTGGAAGGAGTCGGAGTTGTGTTGTGTTCAAGAACACCACAAAAATGAACTGTTTAGATTAACATACAGTACACCAAATAAAAATAACAAATAGTAAGTGTCAGGTAGACTACCTTTGAACCGTTTAAAACAAAAACATTTTCAAAATCTGACTCCAATGTCTTTGTCACGCTGCTGCTCAAAATGATCTCATGGTCATTTTCATGCAATATTGCATGGCCACATACTATTATTGTGTGACCACTATACATACATACATAC